AAAGTCTTAGGGAAGCTGAATCGCAGAGTGGAAAAGAGAATGGGTTTTGAAACTTATAGGCCCCCTTTGCTTTTTATTGGCTATGTGACCTGGGGCAAGGACAACCTCTCTGAGTGTCTTTGCAGGGTTGCTGTAGAGATTAAAAGAGAAAAATGTGGGAAAGAGCTCTGCTATCTGACAATGGAATTCCTGTTAACTTCACAGTGCTCTATGACCCTCATCTGTGGAATGGGGAGAGCGGTAGGAATGGTCACATAGGATAGTAGGAATGGTCTCATAGAGGATTAAATGAGTTAAATATGTAAAGTACCTAGAACTGTGTCTGAAACATAGTAAGTACTGCTCTTATTAAAATGAGGCAGTCTTGAAATGGGGCAGGTTCTCAATAAATAGACCGGCAGACTTGTCATGCAACTTGCCAGCACCATGTGCTATGCTTTACATACCTGCTCTGTTATGTAATGGGGTCTCACTGAGACTTGGTCTCCATCTCATTGACCTTATGGTTTAATTCAGAAGTCATGAGAAAGTGCCTGCCTAGGTAGGGTAGTATGTGACTGTTCACTGAGCAGCACTGACCATGGATACCATGTGGCTTCAGTGTAGGAGGACAGTGGAGGAGTCCTGGTAGAAGAGGTGCGACTCCCACCCAATTTGACAGAGGGGAAGGGAACTGCCTGTGGGCAGGGAGAAGCACAGGCAGACAGGACTGTACATGCAAGGGTGAAAGAGCAGGGTGGAAGATGGGCAGGAACAGATGTACAGGGGAACGAAGGCCTGACTAAGCCATTTGGCTTTACTATATGGCAACAGAATGTCACTGAAAAAATTCCAGCAGAATACTGTCATGATCAGTGGCTCAGATTGACTTATGGCATATATAACAATCGTTCTCAGTCACGGTGCTGCAACAAACCAGAGGGATATGATCCCGGGTGAGGTGTATATAAAGTAATATATAGCCCACACCAAAGATGATGATGATGATGATGATGATGATGATGATGATGATGATGATGAGTGTGTTTAATAAATCTGAGAAGATCAGGATACCTATGCACTAACTATATGCTTCAAAATTCAAGTAAACACAAACCAACAAGGTACTAAAGCTAGATTGATAAAGATAAATGAGTCGTTCACACAAGATCAGAGATAAAAACCAAGGGATGCAGTGTAAAGTGGTAGCTGAAATAAAGAAGGCCCTCTAAGCCAAAGCTAGAATTAGATTTTTGTTTTGTTTCTACTTATTTCTAAAATAAAATTTTAACATATATACCTGGACTGCATGCTAGTCCTCTCCAGACCTGAAGAATGTGTAAATATTGGCTACTTGTCATTTGTCAGGCAAATGCTCTTGCAAAAGACAGAAGAGGTTGCATTTCTATCTGGCAATTCATGTCATTTGTGCTTTTTATTTTGTCCAGGAAGAAAAGAGGTCAGTGGTAACCCAGGATTCCAAGAGCAAGGAGGAGGAGTTTCTCCTCTCAAAAGCCAATGTTCACCAGGTTGATGCCTTCCTTTGAATGAAGCATTTGAGACTGTATTTGTTTTTCTTTCATATGAAGGAAGACTATTAGATGGGTGTTGAAGGATGAGAGACCTCAGAACTATCCTCTAGTAGCTTCAAATAGAAAAAAGCAGATGAATGCACAGCAGGTTCCTTTGTCCCAACAAGGACTACCCAGGAACCAGAGGGCTAATCAGGCAAATGGACAGTCAACAGCTGGTGTCTTTTACTAAGTGGGGTCCTAAGACAATAGCCAATTAGCTTGGAGCCCCCCCAAGTTACTCTTGACTTATTTCACCATATGGTATAAACAATGACTTTCTTTCCTTTAACAAGGGGTTGCCATTAGCTGATTTTATCTAACGAAGCTTAATTAAAGAAGGAGTATTCTAGGAAATCATATAAGAAGAATAGTCTGTGGTTGCTTCTAGGTTTAGAAGGATTCCTAAAAATGACCAAGGATTCTTAAAACAGACCCTGCACATCACTTGCCTAACAGAGGTTCTCTCTAGAGGATAGAATCACTGGTGGCTCTCACTTTCTATGTTTTTTATTTCTTGTTATGTTTGAATATATTTCATAGTTACGATGTATTAGGTATAAAGAAGATACTTCTAAAAGGTCTTAATAAAGTATAGTTAGTAGCTCATTGGATGAACTTCAAAAAGCTGTTTGCCGTTAGTTTCCTGACCTGAAAAATGGACTTAAATCTGACTCAACCTCAAAGACCTCTCCCTGATGGAAAGAAGTAGAAGTTTCCAAAATAAATTTATATCTAACAGGCCTAGGAGATGGAAAATGGAAGAATAATGGACTTTTTGGAAATCCACTGTATTAAATAGGGACACTGGGCATAGGGGCGCTGGTGGTAGCAATAGACCAAAAAAGGTCATGTAAATGGATATGCCCTAAAAACTGAAGAAAAAAAGTCATAGGTCACCGCCATTATTTAGCAACATGTATGGCTATTAAAAAGACGTTGGGGGCACCTGAGTGTCTCAGTTGCTTGAGCATCTGACTCTTGGTTTCGGCTCAGGTCATGATCTCACAGTTGTGAGATGGAGCACCGCATCGGGCTCTATGTTCAGTGCATAGAGTCTGCTTCAGATTCTCTCCCTCTCCCTCCTTGCCCTAGGTCCTCCCTCTGCTCTCAGGTGCTTTCCTTCTCTCTAAAATGAATGAATGAATGAATGAATAAGTAAATAAATAAAATCTTTAAAAAATAAGAAGTTGGTGTTTCATTGAGTTTCACTGCTAGGTCAACATTAGAACCCATAACCATAAAACAAACATATAAGATATAAAGTCAGAATTTTCAGGGGATATGGATAGTATTCTTGATCTAATTATGCATTTTTTCATTCAATAAACATGTAACCTAGAACTTACTATGTACCTAATAGAGATATGAGTTAATAATACAGTGACTTACTATAGCAGTGCAGGTTGATTTGGGTTGATTCTTCGTCTTGCCACAGGGTTGGCATTAGTTAGTTAGTGGTGCAGTTTGAGGTCATGGGTTCATTCTAGTTAAAACTAACAGTGTAAGTATACTAGGACCAGGAGACCTTGGGTCTTGACCGGGCTTTATGATCTTGGCAAGGCCATATCTAGGCTGCAGTTACAACATGTGTAAAACAAGGGAACTCATATGTAATCCCTGATGGCTCTTTCAGCCATAGTAGTCTCCAACAATGAGGTATGTGGAAAGGATCACATAAAACTGGGTTGATGGCCAACCCTAAATTTGCCACCTGTATGAGCCTCAGTTTCCTCAAATCCAAAATGAAGATAATAAAATCTACTTTTCACTGGTTGTTATGAGGATTAACTTCAGTTAGGTGTGTAATAATATTTCTTAACAGAACACTGGTACATAGGCATTCAAAATACATAACATCCTTTGATTTCCACAAACCATCACATAGTAGCATGGTATTTATGAGCTTAGCCACATATATATTTAAGTTCTAAAAGGAAACAGTCAATTTATTTTTCCAGATGCTTTTATTTTACAGTTTTTTTTTCACTGATTACTCTTTGATTCTTTGAATGCTTTACTAAATCATAGTCCCAAGATGGGCAGAGAGAAGGAAGGGGCTCTGCCAAGTGACATTAGAAAAGTGACCTTTGATGCATGGCTGAATAGAAATGGCAGCCGCCTCTCAGCACTAAGGCAACGGTGTGTAAGCTGCTATGCTCTCTCCTCAATTGGATAATCATATAATTTATCATTTTAATTGAGACACTTAAAATTTTTAAAAAGATTTATTTATTTTGAGAGAGGGAACGAGCGAGCAAGAATAGAGGGATGGGCAAGGGTAGAGAATCTTCAAGTAGACTCCCCTGAGAGTGGAGCCCAATGTGGAGCTCCATCCCACAACCCATGAGATCATGACCTGAGCTGAAACCAAGAGTCAGACACGTAACTGACTGAGTTACCCAGGCACCCCAATTGGAATAATTTTGAGAGTGAAAAACTGTTTTAGTAAAACTGGGGTGCATGTCCCCCTCACCTTTCAGGATTACTTTTTGTGACCATTGTTGTCACTTTATAGGTACATCTGGTATCCTCATGGAGAACAAATGCAAAATAAGTTTCTATCCAAATAATCTAAAATTTCTGGTTTTTTTAGAGGCATGCAAAAAAATTATTTAACTGAAGTTTGAGAAATATATATTAATTTGAGATAGAATATTACAAAATGGTTGAGTATTATTATTATGCATGCCTTTCAGTGGAGTCAGTAAAGTTTTTCTATAAAGGACAGAGTGAATATTTTAGGTATTATAGGCTACATGGTCTCTGTCACAACCACGTAATTCTGCCCTTCTAGTGCAAAAGCAGCCATGGACAATATATAAAAGAATGGGCATGGCTGTGTTCAAATAAAACTTCATTTACAGTAACTGGTTGTGAGATGGATCTGGCTTTGGGCTGCAGTTTGTCAACCCCTGCTTTAAAACAATAGTTCCTAGACTTTTGGAATTCATAGGACCAGGAAAATTTTTTAAAATTCTGGAATTGATTTGACTTCTAATTTTATTTTGGTAAGTAATAATATTTAAGAGAAAAAAAAGAGAGAAAAGTCATTGCCTAGCACCCTGGCCTCTTAGAATCCTAAAACAGCAAAAAACTAGAAAGGGCACAAATTCAGAACAAATTTAGCTATGTGGAAAACCAACCACATTGTCCTTATTTTAACAAATGTTTTCTGAGTTTGGTAAAAACTTTATTATGACTATATTTGGTTTAACAGAAGGATCTTGAATTGCTTTTGGAGGACAATGGTGTGGAACCATAGAAAGAGCACAGTATTTATAATAAAAATATCTGGATTTGAATAAGGTTGAGAGAGTACTAGGAGAGAAGAAGAAGCAGACCTTGAACATTCCTTAAATGGGACAAAACTCCTTGAAGAGAATGTCCCACTGCCTTGAATCAGAGTTATATACACAAACTCTAGTATTGAGTAACCCCAGAACTCACCGGCTGCCACTGTGCAGGGTACCAGGCAGGGGGGCAGTTGAAGCGGTTACAAGCTTGCACTGTGCTGGGCTTGGGCTGATGACACAGTTCATCGGCCAGGATTACGGTTTCATTCATCTCTCTGGAAAGTAGGTGGGAGCAGAAGACATCTCTGGTCTGTAGGCCTACCCCACAGGTGAGACTGCATGGACTCCACTTGCCAATTTCCCACCTGGGAAGAAATCAGAGAGGACGAGGACATCCTTATACCTGTGCAGAGAACATCATGATGTCAAGTGTTGCTAATAGAGTAGAAACACATACCTTAGGAACGTGGGAATTTTCAGCATACAACTGGCTAGGAATTCTATCCCAAGCCTAGAACACATCCTTTCCAACATGCTTTAGAATTCATTTAGAATACACAAAGAGGGTGATAAAATACAACCTCCATTTTTACCCACAAGATCACCAAGAATGGTCATAACCATGTCAATTTCGATGAACTATACAAACTTCATCAAAATAAGGCAATATGTTAGATCTGACAGAGGTTTGAGCACAGAAAGGTTTTGGGCACGATGCATTGAACAGCCTTGCTCATAATCTGTCTGGTCCCCATTCTTAGCAAGACTAAAAAATGTGTGCTTGTTTTTCTTTGGCTTCAAAGTGAAAGGTCATTGGCTCCAACTTCCTTTAAACTTCCAACATAGCATAGAAATGTCTCTGTCTTATGTATAAATATCATCACTGCCTGCGACTGGGGAATGTAACAAAAGTAAAGGTTGCTAAATAGATCAGTCTTCTTGAGGGAAAATAAGTGGAGAGAATGGCTCATTATCTGGAAGTAGAAGTCAAATACACAGAGAGGACTTGAGTGCATAATTGGCCATTCCAAATGGCCAAGTCTTGAGAAGTACATTTACAGTGAGCTGAGGGCCCATAAAATAATACCACTCCATTTCTTTCTTGATGCAGCCCCCAAAATGGGAATGATAAGGAAAAAGCTCAGTCGCTTGGGCTTCGAGTAGGAAGTATTCTTTAATGATCAGTTTTGGAAAGTTCTCTTTACAATGTGAGGCACAAAAATTCTACAAACATAAGTTAGCCAAGAAAAGCATGCCAAGTAGACCCTTCAGTAGCTAGGCCCTCCTAGATTTTGTAGCTAGCCTTGAAAACTGGCTTAAAAATCTTTGGCCTTAACATTTTCCATCAGACCGCAAAACTGAGGACATACTCTTTCAATCTCTTTCTGCTACTCTAATATATAACTACCTTACTAACCCCTATTTCCACTACTTCCTTTTGTCTATCCTGTGTTTAAGTCATATGGGTAGTAAACAACTTCATTATTCTCAACTCACGCCCCCTGGTTCGCCAGCTCTGATTTTACTCAAGCTGTTACTTGCAATTTGCAATACTTTTTGTCCTTGCCTTATCTATTCTTCAGCATGTCTTCCATTCCTACGTATCCAAATTTGATCCATGTTTAAAGGATGTGTACCTGCTCCAGACATGGATCATTTTTTCAATTACATTATAGTTATTCTGCATGTCACAGGCCCCACTGGAACTTATACCTCTTGAAGGCAAGCTGTGTCTGCATCTGTTTTGTATCACTCACAATGTTCATTATAGGCCCTTCTAGATAGTTAATGTACATGGTCAATAATTTCTGAATAAATGAGCAAATGGAAGGGACCTACCAGCACAATGGGAGCTTTATACCCATTATCTCATTTAATTACCTCCAGAACAACATGAGATAGGCTCTACTGATTTCATCCACTTCATAACTGAGGAAATTTGAAAATCTAAGAGGTTGACTTGCCCTAAACCCATGATTAGTAAATAGTGAATCCAGGATTCAGACGGGTGTGTTTGGCTCCAAAGGCATTTTCTGTTCTATTGTACCACACTGTCTCCTGGAAATACTTTGAAAATTGTCCTATAAACATTCAAAACATTTTAAGTGAATAGAAGAGGTGAGGCTGGATTGAATATATATTTATTTTAGATCCTTGTGTGAATTTCTATAAACTTATTTTCAGATCCTTAGTTTGAGTAATTCCTAGCTTTAAAATGTCGTGTTTTGAAGTATATCCACACATTCTTTGCCACCTCTCTCTTCTAAAGATGAAGCCTTGAGTCTGGGCTGAACTTAGCTGCTCACCTGTAATGACTAGGATGAGGCAGAAGCAAGGCTACGTGGCCTCTAAGGCTAAATCATTAAAAGGATATAGTTTCCATTTGGCTCTCTCTTTGCCCACTCCAGGGGAAGCCAGCTGTCATGTCGTGAGCGCACTCAGACAATCTTCAGGAAAATCCACATGCAAAGAAACTAAAGCTGTTCACCGACAGTTGGCACCAACTCACCAGTCACAGGGCTGAGCTACAGTGCAAGCCGATCTGCCGGACCCAGTCTAGCCTTCAGATGACCGGACCTTCATGAGAGACCTTGAGTCAGAATTGCCTTTCCAAGGAGCTCTCAGATGCCTCACTCATTAAATGGTGAGAGGTAAAAAACATTTATTTTTATTGTGAGCTACTGGGACTTGGGGACATTTGTTATGCAACGACAGACAACTAATACAAGCATACTCTCCCCTCTAAGCGTGCATATGTTCATCAAAAGATAGATATAAGAATATTCAAAGCAGCACTATTTATAATAGCCCAGATGGGGAACATTCCAAATATCCATCAATAGTTGAGTGGATAAAAAATTATGATATAGTTGTACAAGAACACTGAATGGTGAGAATAAACTATAACAACAAGCAACACAGATGAATCTCACAAACATCAAATTGAGGAAAGCCACAAAAGCAAAAAATTCATCCTGTGCTCTCATTTATATCAAGTTCAAAACCCAAAACTAATCTCTAATGTTAGTAATCAGGATGATGGTTAACTTTGGTGCGCAGTAACTAGAAGAGAGGGACTGAGGGGAAGGGATTCTGGGATGTTATCTTTATCTGGGTGCTAGATCTGGATCCATTTTGTTAAGTCACCAAGCCATATATGTAGGATTTATGCACTTTTCTCTATGTTTATTGTGTTTCAAAAAAAGGTGTTTTCCCCCAACCCCCGACTTTTAAGTGAAATGTTAAAATGCCGTGGCTATAAAATAAAATCCAACAACCATGCTCAATGCCGATGACCACAATGTGTGTGTCTCATAAAGGAGCTGCCTACACAGTGGATGTTGTCCAAGGTTAAAAGCTGTCACAGTACAGGCTCTGCACTTCCACTGCTCCCACTCCTGCCTCCACCTCTGGCAGAAATTCAGTCACTGGGAACTTGAAGCAGAAGCATTTTGGCAGCCATAAGGTCACTTCAGCATTGTTCATCAAACTCACAAAACAGACATATCTGCTTACCCATGATAAGAGTACATTACCTTCCCAAGGGGGGAGGTCAGCAGAAGCTATCTGTGTATTAAGTACTTTGCTGATTGAAAGTATTTAAATCAACTTAGGCCAAAAAGAAAATAAAAAGGGGGCTAGAAATAGAGACTTTCCCCTCATTTCCCTGCATAGGGGCTACAACTCTGAGCCTTGGGTCCAGCTGGCTTCTGATAGTACCTTCATACATTCTGTGCCTTTGGCTATTTCTTGAGGCAGTGCTGCCGGCCAGGAGGAGTCAGCCTGGGGGCAGGACTGGCTGTGGCTCTCAGCCTGTGAGGCACTTACAGGCCTTCTCTGGAATTCTGGGAGCCTGGCTTCCCCACAAGCTCAGTGATGAGAGGGGAAAGGAGCTCGGAGAATGCAGGCATTAGTGCTTTTCGCCTACTTTGCCTGGTTGACTTTTACTCATCTTTATGTCTTCATTGACAATGGTACTTCCTCAGGGATGAAGCCCTCAACTGGGTAAAATATGCCTACTTTAGGAGTCTCACTAATATCTCCCCCTTTGGAAATTCTCAACACTTAAAAAGAAGTTTATTGTGGTAAGAACATAAGATACCCTCTTAAGTGTACAATATGGTATTGTCATCTATACATACAATGTTGTACAGCAGAGCTCTAGAACTTACTTATCTTGCTTAGCTAGAACTTTATGCCTATTGATGAGTATTCTCATTTCCCTCTCCTTCCAGCCCCTGGTAATCAACATCCATTCTTTGATTCTATGAATTTGACTCTTTTAGATATTTCATGTAAGTGGAATCATGCAGTATTTGTTCTTGTATAACTGGCTTATTTCTCTTAGCATAATGTTCTTGAGGTTCATCCATATTGTCAGACATTGCAGACTTATTTTTTAAGGCTGAAGAGTATTCACTGTATGCATATACCACATTTTCTTGATCCATTCAACTGCTCAAGGACATTTAGATTGTTTCCACATGTTGGGTATTGTAAATAGTGCTACACTGAACACACATGGGAGTGCTAATATCTCTTTGAGATCCTGACTTCAGTTCCTTTAGATAAATCCTCGGTGCTGGCTCATATGGTAGTTCTATTTTTAATTTTTTGAGGAACCTTCATACTGTTTTCCACAGTGGTTGCACCCACTTTGCATTCCCACCAACAATACACAAGTGTTCCAATTTCTCCACATCCTTGCCAACACTGTATCCTTTGTTTTTTTTTTTTTTTTTAAAGATTTTATTTATTTATTCATGAGACACACAAAGAGAGAGGCAGAAACATAGGCAGAGGGAGAGGCGGGGTCCATGCAGGGAGCCTGATGCGGGACTTGATCCTGGACCACAGAATCACATCCTGAGCTGAAGGCAGATGCTCGACCACTGAGCTACCCAGGTGTCCCTGTAGACCTTTGTTTTATTGATGATAGCCATGCAGACAGGCATGAGGTGATTATCTCATTGTGGTTTTGATTTGCATTTTCTTTTATTATTTATTATTTAGTTTTTACAGAGAAAGAGGAGAGAGAACACGAGAAGGGGGAGGTAGAGGGAGAAGGTTAAAGAGAATCTCAAGCAGGCTCTGCCTAGTGTGGAGCCCAATGTGGGGCTCAATCTCGTGACCCTAAGATCATGACCTGAGCCAAAATCAAGAGGCAGATGCTCAACCAACTGAGCCACCCATGCCCCTGATTTGCATTTTCTGATGATTAGTGATGTTAAGCATTTTCTATATACTGACTGGCCACTGATATGTCTTTTTTGGAGAAATGTTTTTCAAGTCTTGAGCCCATTTTTAAATTGGATTATTAGTTTTTGTTGTTGTTCTTGTTATTGAGTTGTAGGTGTTCCTCCTA